GCGGGGATCTGAGCGAGACCTCGCCGTCCCTGGGGGGCTGCGATCTGCGACGCTGTCGCCACTTTCGAGGGCTGCTGGTGGGTCCTGCGGAGTGAGGCACCGCGGGGATCTGAGCGAGACCTCGCCGTCCCTGGGGGGCTGCGATCTGCGACGCTGTCGCCACTTTCGAGGGCTGCTGGTGGGTCCTGCGGAGTGAGGCACCGCGGGGATCTGAGCGAGACCTCGCCGTCCCTGGGGGCTGCGATCTGCGACGCTGTCGCCACTTTCGAGGGCTGCTGGTGGGTCCTGCGGAGTGAGGCACCGCGGGGATCTGAGCGAGACCTCGCCGTCCCTGGGGGGCTGCGATCTGCGACGCTGTCGCCACTTTCGAGGGCTGCTGGTGGGTCCTGCGGAGTGAGGCACCGCGGGGATCTGAGCGAGACCTCGCCGTTCCTGGGGGGCTGCAATCTGCGACGCTGTCGCCACTTTCGAGGGCTGCTGGTGGATCCAGCGGGGTGAGGCACCGCGGGGATCTGAGCGAGACCTCGCCGTCCCTGGGGGGCTGCGATCTGCGACGCTGTCACCACTTTCGAGGGCTGCTGGTGGGTCCTGCGGAGTGAGGCACCGCGGGGATCTGAGCGAGACCTCGCCGTCCCTGGGGGGCTCTGGAGAGCTGCTGTGGGATACGTTAGGCGCAACGGGCGCATGGCACAGCCAACGGGGGTGATCTGTGAAACAGACCATCTGCCGGGCGATGGCCATAACGTTGCGCCTACACGTATCCCGCGGGGGCTCTCAAGAGCTGCTGTTGGATACATTGGGTGCAACGGGCGCACGGCACAGCCAACGGGGTCGATTTGTTATTACGTAGCCCTTAGATCTTGATCGGGGGTCTGCGAGCCTTCCGATTGCTGTTCGCAAAATCAGATGCGTCCATGTTACGTCATCGCCCCCGTTGTAGCAATCCTGATGTACTAATGCCCCGCATTGCGCAAGGGTTGGGTACGTCGCCAGGGTAACTTGCATTTTTTGTTCGAGGCTATGTTAGAGGTTCGGGGCCCCACGCGTCAGGACGTGAGGCCGTGGCTACGCCCTCCCAAGCGCCTGAACCCCAAAACTACGGTAATACACATTCGGGGATATTGGTGTCATGTATCTCTCTCTCTCTATAGCCTGCGCCTGCGAGCCTGCGACGACAGGACAGTTGGGACAGAGAATCCTGTCCCGTCCCTCCCCCCGGCGGACCTGCTCGTGCGGCGCTCTGCAGGGATAAGGACGCCCCCCTCGGAACCCCCCGCAGTGGCTGGGATCTGCAGGAGGATAGTTTTATCAATTCTTCTGGATTTCACCTGGCAGGAGCTAAATGGGCCCATGGAGTGAGCGGCCACGGCCGCCCCGCGCAGTCCGCCAGCCGGCCGTCCCCTTACAGGGACGACTCGCGCGTCGTCGTTCATTCGTTCGTCCCCCGTTGTGGCTAGTCGGCCTTGCCGCCGCCGTCGTCGTCGTCGTCGCCGTCGCCGTCGCTCAGCCGTCGCTGCCACCGTCGCCGTCTCCGTCGCCGTCGCCGTCGCCGTCGCTCAGCCGTCGCCGTCGTCGTCGTCGTCGTCGTCGTCGTCGTCGTCGTCGTCGTCGTCGCCGGGCACCCCCGCGGTGCGCCGGCTCAGGCGGGCGCGCCCGCCGCCGCGTGGCGGCAGCTGCAGAACGCGCAGGACGCGCGGCGCCCTCTCGCTCGTCGTCGCCTCGTCGTCGTCGTCGTCGTCGGGGCGAGGGGAGGAGCGAGGAGGATCGATGATGAGGAGGGAGGAGGATCGATGATGATGAGGAGGATGGTCGCAGAGGAGGAGGAGGAGGAGGAGGAGGAGGAGGAGGAGGAGGAGCAGGAGCACGAGTAGGAGCAGGAGGAGGGTCGCGGACTGAGGAGGAGGAGGAGGAGAAGGAGGAAGATGAGGAGGACCAGTGTAAACCCAAGGTGCACTAGCGGTGTTGCAGTAAACCCTCCCTTAAGTTCTCTCCGAACAGGTCCCTGACAGAAGATATCTTCATTGCGGGAGGTGGCTTTTTAGAAGAACGCTGTTTCAAAATCCTCAATCGTGCCATAACGCCGTTCCTGGGGCTTCAACATTGCGGATCAACGTGACTGTTGCATCCTGATACTCCTGGATCGCGCCAGAACGACATTCCTGGGACACCGCGAATCAACGCGACTGCTGCGTCCTGCCAGAACACCATTCCTGGGACTTCGACCATGCGAGCCTTTGAAACTGTTGCACGCTTTGAAGATGAGTGTGCGTGGCGCTAAGGCGAGAGCGACATTTTGAAAAGGAACCGCCCTCCATTCTTGACACTGCTGCGAAGTTTTGCAGGAGGAGCAGGGGGAGCAGGAGGAGGAGGATAAGCAAGACGTGCAGACGGTAGCGGCTACAGATAAGCATATTGAAGGTGTCGCACGCGCGTCAGAAGAAAGCTTGACTCCAGGTTCCTTACCGGGTCCGTGGACCCCTCAAGTTGAGAATGAACCGCC